CATTGATCAAGCCCACAACCCGGGCATGTGCCGTGACTGGGAATCAAACCCTGATCGCTTGGATCCTAGGTCGACGCTCAACCGCTGAGCCACGCCCGGCCGGGCTGCCTGTTTACTTTTAGAACACAGAAAGGCCCTGGCTTTGAATTTGTGGCGGCTACTGAGAAACCCATGAGCATGCCCGTGAGCTTTAGTGTATTCTGTTCCCTTTCTGCTCCGTGGTGAATTCCTCCTTATCCTTCAAGGCCTAGCTCAACTGTCACCTCCGTGAAACCCCTTCCCCCCCTCCCCAAGAAAGGTTAGCTGCTTCCTTAGCACCTGTGTCTGCTCCCATTTTATCATTTTGCACACTGGTTTATACTTTTTCCCTTACATTTGTTTTGGCCCACTAGGGTATGAGGCCCTGGAGGGCCAGCAAAGAGCCTGGAATGGAGTCTGGGTTGAGCTGCGCTGCTGTGGCTAGTCTAAGAGACCTCATCTGTACAGCAGCAATCTCTCCTGCTGACGTTGGAGCTGCTGTTTGGCCCAAACAAACCCCAGGGGGAAAAGGGAGCTGCAGCGTGTAAAAGGGCACTGAGGTGTGTCAGCTCATTCGTTCCTACATTTCCTCACTGATAAGACACCACATGCTGGCCACTGCATAAGACAAGGAGCCTACCACCTAGTGTGAGCTCCCTCCCTCTCTCTCTAGTGTGAGAGACTGACCTAGGAGAGCACTGCAGAAGTGCCTTTGAGCTCTGCTGAGGGTAAATCCAGAGCAGGGAGCCTGGCCCAGAAGGCAACCCGAGCTGAGCTCTCAAGGCTCCAGAGAAGTGAGTCAAACAGACAGGGTGGGTGTCCTAAGAGACATGGTTGAGGTTAAGAATGACGAAGTGATGGCATAGAGCCAGCATGTCTAGCAACTATGACACAAGTTGTATCACAGGGAGTATGAAGCAATAATGGGAGCAAAGTCCTGGCTGGGTGGCTCAGTTGGTTGGAGCATTGTCCTGTACACCAAAAAGGTTGAAGGTTTGATTCCCAGTCAGGACACATAACTAGGCTGCGAGTTCAGTCCCTAGTTAGGGGGTATATGGGAGGAAACAGATCGATGTTTCTCTCTGATATTGATGTTTTTCTCTCTCTCTCTCCCTCCCTCTCTCTCTAAAAAAAAAAAATCAATTAAAAACATATCCTTGGGTGAGGGTTATAAAAAAATAATAATAAAAAGATTGGGAGCAAAGTTCAGAGCATGCAAGGGCTGTTTATCAAACTAAGGAGTTATCCGAGGAGGAGATGGGGTAGCCCCTAGAAGTTGTAAGCAGGGGTACATGTTAAGATTAGAAAGATCACTCTGGCTGCAGTGTAGAGAAGGGATTTAGCCAAGTCTAAGGCTCCTGGCAACCCAGGTGGGTAGAATGACAAGAGAAATCAGAGAAAAGAATATTGCCTGAAAACCGGCTAAATGGCAGGCCCTTTTACATGAGTATATTATACTAATAAGATCCAAAAAGCATCCAGTTAGGGAGACAGTACTGGTCTCATTCAACAGATGAGAAACTGAGGGTCAGAGAGGTGAAGCAACTTGCCGAAAGTCATAGAGCTGGTACATAGTCAAGGCAGAAATTGCAGTTGTTCCTTCTACTCTGCCAAGCTGCCATGTACAGAGTGACTAGGAAGTAGGGTGTGGAGGGACACAAAGTAAAGAGAGACTAGCAGGGGCAAAACTGGACAGGAGGCTGAGTCTGGATATCACTCTGTACTCATGGAAACCACTGAAGGTTTAAAAGCATGGAGGTGACCTGCCAGAGCTGTTCACTGGGAAGATTAACCTGGTAGAACAGAGTGGACTAAATAGGTAAGAAGTAGGAAACGGGGATTACTTACCAGATTTTCAAACAAGATTTATTGAGCACCTAATATGTTCCCCTCACTGTTTCAGGTACTGGTGTGCCAGCAGCGAACAAAACAAAGATTCCTGCCCTCAAAAAGCTAACCTTCTGCTGGATGGGCAATAAAGAACAAGATAAATAAGTAAAATATACGGTAGGTTAGAAGGTAATAAGCACTATAGGGAAAAAGTAGAGCAAGGTGCAGGGCTTGGGTGTGCTGGGGCTGCAGTGCTAAATAGGGTGCTTAGGGTGGGCTCACTGAGAAGGTAACAGTGAAGCAAAGACCAGGAGGGGGGAAAGAAGTGGACTAAGCAGGCAGAAGGGACAGCTTTAGCAAAAGTTCTAAGGTAGGAGTATGCCTGTGCTTTTGGGGCCCAGCAAAGAAGACAGTGTCCTAGGGCTTGAGGGGCGGGGGAGAGGAAGGGGCATGTCATGCCAGGCCTTGCAGACCAAGGTAAGAACTTGAGCTTGGACTAGTTGGGAGGCTGCTGCTGAAGGCCCACATTGGGAGTGGAGCAGCAGAGTGGAAGAGAAGAAAAGAATGGCATTAAGGGGGTGAACTTAGAGGCTGATTAATGTGGAGGTGACATAAAAAAAATCATATATCACCGAAAGGCCTGGGCCTGGTTCATGCTCAAAGGGGAAGAGGACAAAGGGCAGAAGATCCCTGAACACTTTCATTTAAGGAATGCTAATAAACCTCAGGACTTTCTCAGTCTGAGAAACTTATGCTCTGTGCCCTGCCTCCCTAAATACTTTCCCAATGTCCAGAGGGGAAGCAGGTAAGGGCCGAGAGCCATGTAGAGCTCTCGACACCGGGCTGGTTGAGGAGGGCGGACCCTGGACTTCCAGCTCCAATGCTGCAGCTCCGTTTCGGCCCAAACCCTTGCATATGTCCCCTTATACTTCTTCAGGCATGCCTCACACTTCCAAAACTCTGCGACTTTACTCATGAGAGTGTATTGGCCTGGAATGCTCCTCCCTATCCGCCTTTGAGTGTTTGGGTGTCAAAAAGAGTGTATTGTGATGACCTATCCCTCTCATGCTCACTCATGTCTCCCTTCAAAGTCCGTTCCCAGGCCGCCAGCCACCTTCCTGGGCTGCTTTTAGCCAGAGAAGAACTCGAGTGATTC